ATTTCCAATTCCATTTCTTTTTTCCTTTTTCTTTCTCTTTACCTTTTTTCTTTTCATTTTCCCTTTCTAAACCTTTTACTTTTCTCGTTTCCTTTACATATTCTTTCCCTTTACCCTCTTCCCTTTCTAATTTCTTTTCCATATTCCCTTTTCTTTCTCTTTTCTCTTTTCCCTTTTAATTTCTCTTATTATCTTCCTCTTTCTTCTCTTTTCCTTTCCCTTTCATTAATCTTTTTCTTTTCATTTCTTTCCCTTTCCCCTCTTCCCTGTTTTATTTCCTTTCAATATTCTTATTTCTTTCTCTTTTTCTTCCTTTTATTTCTCTTATTACCTCCGCCTTTATTCTTTTTTCCTTTCCTTTCATTTTTCCATTCTACCCATTTTATTTTCATCCTTTCCCTTTCTTTGCTCTTTGCTCTTTCCTCTATTCCCTCTTTTCCCTCTTTTCCTTTTAATTTCCTTTCTATATTCCTGTTACTTTCTCTTTTATATCTATTCCTATTTACTTTCTCTTATCTCCTTCCATTTTCTTCTCTTTTCCTTTCCCTTCTCTTTTCCTTTCATTTTTCCTTTCTCTTTTTCCTTTTTAATGTCTTTTTCATACTTACTTTTCTTCTTTTTTCCTTTGTTTACCTTCCTTCCCCTTTCTTCTCTTTCCATTTCTATTTCCCTTTTCTTAACCTTTACCTTTTTTTCATTTCATTTACATATTCCTTTTCCTTTCAATTTTTTATTTCGCTTCTCCTTTAACTATTCTTTCCCTTTTTCTTTCTCTTTTTCCTTTTTTCTTACCCTTAAAAATTGTAAAAAATAGCTTATATCTTCTAAAAATTATAAAGTCAATAAAAAATAATATTAAGAGATGCTAGGAAATAAACACTCATATTCAAAATGTATACTTACTTCCCTCTTTTTTAGCGATATTTTTAAAAACTCATTTAAATACAAGAATTTACATTTACTTAAAAAAATTTCTAGGGCAAGATTCTCTAGCAGTAGAACGAAATCCTTTCCTTCTTTTCTTTCACTTTTTCTTTTCCTTGCTCTTTTTCTTTCCCTTCTCCTTTCCAGTTTTTTCTTTTACCTTTTCCTTCAGTTCCCTTTTTCTTTTCTTATCTTCCTTTCCCCATAACTTTATTTTCAATATTTAAATAAAATTATATTTATATTCTTAAGGATCCTACCTTTTTAAAACTTACTATTTTGTCGCACCTACCATTAGTTCCTTTTATTCCTACTGCTTATTTCGTATTAATTAGTAAAAAAAAACAATACGTGGTTTGCTAATTTATATGACCATATTTATATATATATGATATTTTAATATTTTAAATAAGATTTTATATCTATTCGCAAATACCCTAGCTTTTTTTAAAGTTTAACTCGTCTTCCCAAACAATATTCCTCTCTATCCATGCCTATTATTTTGTACAATTTTATAAAAAACTATATATTTTCTTTGTCATTTTATTATAATCAAATCGAGATAACAATACATAGTATTATATTTTTATAATTTAAATAAAATTATATATATTCTGAATCCTACCTTTTTTATTCTGACCATTTCGTCGTTTCTAACATTATTCCTCTTCATTCCTGTTGATCAGCTCCATACCTATATTATATTTTTATTTAGGAATTTCTAATTCCACGCCATTTGTCATTCCCAGGATACACTTCTCTCGGCCCAAGCCCAGAATAGGGGGTAGATTTTTATTATAAAGCTCTGATATTTGTCTCACTATTTTTTTTCATTTTATTTTCATGATTATTAGATGTTATATTTTTTTTTCTCATACTATAAAAGAAGTTCTTTAAGTACAGATGTGATGAGGATGATAAAAACGCCTCATCATATTCACCATCATAGGAAATTTCTTATCTTATGCTCATACCCTCTTAGACAGCATTTTATAAAAAAATTTAAGTTCACTTAAGTCTGATTTAAAAAAAATACTATGGACCCTAATTCTCCATAAAATATACTACTCTCTCTTTGTATTATTTAAAATGAATTTGATACCGGGCCTAAAAATTTATAGAACTCTTCCAAATAAGTAATTATATCATCTAAAGTTCAACTAAAACAAATAATTTTAAATATGATTTATATTTGAGCATTGAAATCCTACAAACATTACTTGATGTATTATTTAAAATCTCCGTAGTGGATGCATCCAAAAGTCTTTCAGTTTGATATTGCAAAAATACTCTCATCAGTTTTCATTAGTTTCATAAAATCTTTTAATATGTCATTCTTCGCATAATCTTTGTTATGATACTTAAATTTTTAAAAACATTCAGTAAATGACTTGACAAAATTGGGGACATTATTTATAACTGTAGCTTATCTAAAACCCAAAACTCTCTGTGAACTTCTTCCAATAACAGCTAAATTATCATAAGAATGCGTTCCAGTCATTTTCCTAAATGCTAAGACTTTTGATTATCTTTCAAAGTATTCTCTTATAATCTGTGAAATTGGAAACAAACATAATTCTTCCTATTAATAATGGATTTAAATATAATTTTTATTCTAATGATATGATAAAAGAGAAGGTCCCATTAATTCAAATAACAAATATCAGAGCAAAAGTATAAATACTGTTAAATATAATTATATCTTTAAATAATAAATAATTTAAATTACCTTAATATGTTTAACAAGCTAATTAGACAAGTTTGTTTAATAATCCTATAGACTTATTTTGCATGTACAGGCAAGGCATTAAGGGGTTACTTTATATTTTTCTACATTAATAATCTTTAAAAGATTTCCATCTAAAAGATTAAATTACTTTAATATCTTTTACAGATAGTAGTTTAACTGTTACTTTCAATTTTTCTCTGATAATTTAAAAAAAATATCCATCGAAAAATTTAAGATTACGATTTGATTCAGGAGGAACCTATTTACATAATATTAGTTTCCCTATCTTCTTCTTCACTACCATGAGTGTCAATTATCCGATTTTATATCGATTAAAGTTTAAAAACAATAATGAATTTTTTTGTATTTATATACTTTATATAATTATCAAATTTAACTTCTAATAATATGCAATTTGATTAACCTCGATAATATAATATTAAATATAGGAAAGTTATAATATTGTATTACAAATATAATATTCAAATTATAACCTTTTAAAATATATAAGATATTAAGATATAACATCCTATACATTAGAAAATTTTATATAATAGTGCTATTCTTTTCATCTACATATAAAATGTATACTATACTCATTTTGTTTTGCTTTTGTTATTTATCTATCTTGATGTAAATTTTCTAATATTTTTTTTTAAAATATGACGACAAGAAAGAAAAATAAAATTAATACAAGAGACTAGTGGTGCAAAGTCGCTCCACTCAAGCCGACTCAGTCTCGGTTCGACCTTGGAGCAGCCGAAAAAATTATCGGTTCAGTCTTGGAACTCAAGCCGACTTAGCCTCGGTTCGACCTTGGACCAACCGAAAATTATCGGTTCCACCTTGTAGCTCAAGCCGAAAAAATCTGCTCAGCCTTGTGGCGAGCCGAAAAAATTGGCCCAACCTTGAACTCGAAATGTATTTCCGTTGGAACTTAATAAATAATATACTTTTATATTATATTTGACTAAATAGGATGGGTATAGTGTTGCTTTTATTTTATATTTCTATGGAAAATATCTACCCTGTATATATAATTTTACGTTTTTATAAATTTGTTCTATTTTTTGTTTCGTTTTAAATTCCCATAGAAATTACCTATCCTTTTAAACATATTTTTTACGAAATTTTGTAAATTAATTGTATATACAATTTCAAAATCAAAATTTTCAATCACCTCTTTCTATTTGATTTCATGTTCTTAGATCTGTTATGTTTTAAAAATAAAAAGTTCAGGATATGAGCTTTCATATTATATTAGCTAATTTGGAAATAAATTATAAAATGATAAAAGCAATCATAATCAAAAATAAAATGTGTTTCCGTTGACATCTTCATTTATGATTTTAAGTTGAAAAGGAGGAAATGAAATAAAATTACCATCCCAATGTTACAATGAAATAGGGGTAAATAAAGTAAGACTTTATTTTAATTTAACACATGTTAAATTTAATTTTCGGGACAAATTAAAATAAATTTCGTTCAGGATCAGACCATATATATTAAGTTCCTGAGCGATTTAGATTTTGAGCTCAAGACTGAGCCGATTTTTTTGGCTCGCGCTCCAAGGTTGAGCCAAATTTTTTGGCCCGCCTCCAGGTTGAGCATTCGTCTCGCGCTCCAAAGTTGAGCCAATATTTTCGGCTTAAGTTTCAAGGCTGAGCTGTTTTTTTTAGCTTGCGCTCCTATGCTGAGATAATTTCTTTGCTATAAACTCGGTTAAGCCGTTTTAGAGTCAGCTTGAGTGAAGCTATTTTGCATCACTACAAGAGACCACAAAAAGATTGTATGATTATAAAATTTTTTACAGAAAATATTGTGTGATATCAAAATATATGTAAATGATATAGACAGTGTTTAGTTTTTGCTCGTATATTATATATAATTTACATATAGAATTTATTTTTGGTTTATAATTTTTTTTTTATTAATTTGAAAATTTTTACGTAGAAAAAAGCGAAAGAGTATGTTAATTTTAAAGAAAATTTTAATATTTTATTATGATTTTATATTTTAATATTTGTATCTCCACCTTTTAATTTTTGGAAAAGCATTTTTTTTATTTTTTAATTTTGAATATTTTTATATTTTACTTTTAACACTATATAAAAACCTTTATTTTTCATCATCCAAAACAAACAAAGAAATCAATTTTTTATAAAACAAAAATATATTATTATAATATATAATAATACTATAAAAAAAAAGAATGGAGATGGTGTGGCGCAGGGAAACAAAAATGAAAAAGGGACGTAGGATAGCTCTTTAGCTAGAAGACTACCATTGAAACTGATATAATTAGCTTTGAGAATCGCTATGGATAGTCGTTGACGAAGAAAAAAACCCTCTCGAGGTTCTTCTGAGAGTTTGCTGATTTGTGATCCTAAGTTTTTGAAAAATGCTAAGGCGAGTTTGCCGAAGGTGCCAAGAGTGGTTGATATGATTGGGATGAAGCAATGATCGTTCATTATTTCTGTGTATTTAGAAGTTTTAAGTTGTTCCTTCTGGTCAAGGATGTTGATGGCATGGTTGGATGGGGCCAAGGGGTCAATACAGGAATAGTCCCATACCAAAAGTTGGCCTCTCCTCCATGGGATTTGAGAGATCCCGTCAGGACGTTTACCGTCAGATCTAAAAAGACCCTGTGGTTCTAAAGTGGAAGGAATTTGGGCGGATTTCAGAGCATGTTGGATGATTGTATTACATTGCTTGTGTCTGATGAATCGTCCATTGCAGGAGCGACAATGTAAACTATGTCTACCCTTCGAGTTAACTGGCGAGTTGCACCCTGAGCAGATGTGAGGGTGAGTGATGGAACAATCTAGACGAATGCCGATGGCGTGGGTAAATTCATTGTTGGATAGTTGAAGCTGAAGATTGGTAGATGGGATGGCCTCAAGAAACTCATGTCCTGTACCATTGAGCAGGGAAGAGAATAGGGTGCAGTCGGTAGATTGCATGCTAGATAAGAGAGTTTCAACGCAGCGAGCAACCACTGGTGCATCCCAGTCTTTCTGTCTATGGGTTGTGGGGGGATGAGAATCAGCATTGATCCTTGTTTTCCAAATATCCATAGCCACGATTAAGGAAAGGTCTTCTTTAGAATTATGGGCGGTGGTTATTGGCTTTGTCAAGAGACTACTCGATATGAAAGTAGTTATTGCTAAGTCATGTGGAGATCTGATTCCGAGACCACCAAATTTGGTTGGAAGAGTTGCTTGGGCCCAAGCGGTTTCATTGAATCTGATATTTACTATTTTTTCGGTTAAGTCCTTTATTCCTTTTTCGTAAGTTTGGAGAGGAATAGGATATTTGAAAATTGGTGTTAACCAAAGTGCGTAAAGAATCCTTGGTATAAAAAAGAAATTTTTTAGCAAAAAAAGGACTTGTGTGATGGAAGAAGTGTAAAGATGTCCTCCAGTTTAAGGAGTATGTCAAGTGTGGAATGAAGAAAGGTGCTTATTGCCTCGTGTCCTCCTACAGGCGATCCTAGATGTGTTAATTCAACGCTTGTTGTGAATTTGAAATCGTGAGTGTTGGAAGCATAGAATTTAAATGTGAGAATTCAGATTTGCTCTGGTTAAGCGAAAGTCCAATGGCTGTGCCCATTTCTTTAATTATGTTGACTGCTTTGGTAATTTCACTACAGGGACCACTCAAGATTCCATCATCAATATACCAAGCGTGGAGCGATAGAGTACATAAAGAGTTTATTGATTTTATCATGTCATTGATTCCAAAAGTAAAGAGAAGGGATCCGAGAGGGTCACCCTGTTGGATACCCTCGACAGAAAGTATCTTTTCTTTGTTGAATTGTAAGATTGTTGGTGATTGGTAGCAAGAGAAAAGAAATTTGGTGTAATCGGGGAAATGGAAGCAAGTTGAATGTAGGAACGTGTTGTGCGAAAGAGTGTTGTAGGCGTTAGAGAAGTCAATTTTTACTAGGGATTCGTTTTTTGGGTTATTTTCAAGGTGAATTCTTGTTAAGTGCACAGCAGCTTCACACCCACCAGGTATCCCTACACCAAGTTGGTAGGGGCTTAGAATGTGTGCGGCATCGTGTTTGATTCTAGATGCGATTAATTTAGCGACCAATCTACGGTATGTTGAACCAATGGCGATGGGCCGAATGTCCTTGTTTGGTTTTTGGAGTGCGATGAGTCTGGCACCGAAGATTAAGGGGGTAATAAAGCTGGGTACCTCTCCATTTAGGATTTTGTTGACTAAGTTTGTGATTTTAGTGAGAATTGAAACCTGTGTACAGATCACAGGAGAGGTAATGTCCTGTAAAAAAATTGGTCTAATCCCATCTAGACCATGAACCGAATCCCGATGAAAAGATAGGATTGCTTTCCTTACTTCTTCCTGTGTGAAGTCTGCTGCACAATGGGAGTAGGGTTGGGGCAATATTGGCATAAATGTTGTTGTGGGATGCTTTGATCGAAGCATAATTAAGGTATCTAAATTGGATTCCGCCAGAGTGTCATTGGTTGAAATGAGTTTGAGGGCCCCTTTGATATTAAGACTGTCAATTTTCTTTGAGGCTTTTTGTTCAAGTGGGGTTATTTTTTTTTTGTTTTTGGGATGTCTGGAGATTTGGGACTCATGAAGATGAATGTTGATGTTTAAACAGGCATCTTTTATTTGTTGAGTTAAGGATTTTTGGAGTGATATGTCAAGTATTTTAAAAGTATTGTACCCGAAATTTAGAAATTTTAACCATTCTTCTTCTTTGTTAAATTTTGCAAAAGAGAAGATATGCAGTTGCCGAGAGATTTAGCTACTTGTATTCTCGCTCCTTTGGGTATTCTCGTTATGATACTTGGTTTTGTGGAGTTAAGAAAAATATCTGAGAATGAGGCACCAATTTCTTGGTTTAGGGGGGGGGATCTATGAGAGGGAGGGGAAGCGAGTAAGTGATCTGAGAAAGAGGCGTGTGTTTTGAATGCGGACACCTGTTAGAGATTGGTCCATGAACAAAAAATTCTCCATCATTTGTTAAATGTATTGGTTTCAGGCAGGATGGGCAGATTTTGCGTTCATGGGGGATGGCCATAGGTATAAAAAAAATGCAGCCAATAATAAAGCAAAAGCGCCTGTGAGAGGTCTGTTGATTGATGAGCAAAAATAGCGAAGGAATGATGAATATGTATGTCAGAAAAATCGAGCAACGAGTGAGAAAGATGCTCAATATGAGAGGTTTCAAATAAAAAAAAGGATTAATTATTAAAATAATATATTTAGAAAAACAATTAATTTTTTTTAAAGTTCAAGTTTTTAGTTCTCCATTGTTTTTTAATTTTCTACTTCAATTTTTTTATTATTATATAATTTTGAATATGTTATTAAAAATATATATAAAAACATGTGTATGACAACTTAAAATTAAAGGATTAGTAAATTAAGATTTATATATCTTTTAATGTTTATGACAACAAACCTTTAAAATTTATATATACATTTTTCTTCTTTACAAAGGTTACTCTAATCTGCTTTTACAAATAGAAAAATATATCTATATCTTTGGTCAACTGTCAAGAAAATGAAGAAGATACAAAATTCTTTTAAATTAATTTATTTTCTATAAGAAACAACTATCTTATTTAAAATGTCAAAAATATTGTATCTTCGATACAAGTATTCGCAGTACTACCCATAGTTGTTCATTTTCCTCCACGAAATATCATAATCCGTTACTAATATATTACGGAATTTTTTTGTAATATAAATTTAAAAAATATCAATCTTGATAATTAAATAGCATCCATTTAAAATGCAATTTTTATGTAAAATATCATCTGCTTGGAAAAATATATGTTTTAGGCTGCTGTATTAATATCGGATTTAGAATCGCGATTCAAAAATCAATTGCATTTCAATAATCTTTCATCATACTATTTTACGTGTAATTGCTTTTTGAGTCGCTATCCAAACTTCGATATCAAAATACAGTCTTAAGTATCTATTTTCTAACGGATTGGAAAACCGTTTGTTACCGCCTTTTATCAGAAATATAGATTGTATTTTTTTTATCGGAAGAGTTAGTATGGGGATCTATCCCATTCTAGGTATCGTGTTTTGCGGACGTGTCTGATTTTATTAACTTGGCAGTAATGAAAAACATAAAGAAGATACTGATTTGATGACTCTGTAGCAGAGTAATAATAAAATATTTAAGCTAGAATTAGTAAAAATATTATCTATCAAAAACGAAAATAATGAATTCTATGTAATCGATTCCTTAAATAAATTAAACAATTTATAATAAAATCACCTCTACTTTAAAGCAATCTAAAATTTGTCCTTTAAATTAACCCCTTGAAGTTTCGATCAATTAAAAAAGAATTAAATAAATTTTGGTTCGTCTCTAAATATTTTTCCAAATTAAATATTTATGGGAAAGAATTCAATTTATAAGAAATATCTTCATATTAGTTTTTTTTCTTTCAAAAAATATTTATTTTTACAATTTTAGGGATGTGTCCTAGGTCGGCTTAATTTGGATATTTAATTGCTTTCTAGTATAGCTTAGAAAGCATTTGATCGAGGACACCCTATTTTAAGTATTTGGTGGAATTGCTATTTTTCGTATTTTCTTCTCATTTTTTAAAAATTTTTTGCTTTTTTGATTATTTAGCCGATACTTAAAAGAAGGCTAAATTTTCGGGTAGTAAGTATTAAGCCGACTTAGGACATAGCCTTAAAGATTTTTAGAACCTAGTTTTTTTAAAAAAAAAATTGTTAATCTTTTTAGAAATATATATCAAATTGGGATTTTAGTTGAGGATTTTCACATGGCATACGAACATTTATTCAATCAGCTGGAAAATAATAAGGATTAGCTTTACATAAATTTACTCCTCATATTCTCAATTCTCGTTTCAAAAAATAGTTATCCTTATAATTTTTTATCTGAGCAAAAATAATCTATTGTAATAAGTTTCATTTTCATCGCAAACACAATTTTATTTTTGTCATATTTTCTTTCCAGTGTCAAAAACATATTTTTATGCTATCGCTGATAAATTATATAAGTATCAAAGTGACCACAAGATTTATCGAATCTCATATTTAAATCAGGGTTGTGCATTTGACCGGTCAAATACAATTCGGTCAATTAACCGATATTTGACCGGTCAAATATGGTCAAATATGGTCAAATTCAAATAAATGTTTTTTACACCAATATTAACTTTATTTTGCATTTATATAATATTATAATAAATCTATGTATAATAATAAATATCATAATATTTTTTAATTCATTCTATAGTCAATGTTTCACCCTCCGTTGCAGAGTCTTGTTCCGATTCATATTCAATATCATTATTTTCTTTAATATTTTTAATCAATCTTAAATTATGATACACTCTTATTAATTTTCCTGCTGTAGAAACCTTTAATCTATTTCTGTTTTTCGTGTGAATATTGCCCTAAACCGACCAATTTCTTTCAGAAGAAGAAGTCGAACTAGGAAATGTTAGTAAAATATTAGCGACTTCTCTTAATGGGCAAGGTGGGCAAAATGCATTCCACCAACTTGAGGCCGAAATTTGATTGTTTCTTATGGAAGTTACAACTTTCCACATATTATGGCTATTAAATATACCGCTTTTCCTTCTGAAATTTACTATATTACTCAAAATATTTTGATTATCACCACCTTGTAAAATACCCAATTCTTGTATTATATTACATGCTTCATCAAATTCAGTATTAGTAAGATGCTCCCCTTGATATTGGGGGTCCAATAAATAAGCAGCATTGTGAGCACATGTATTTAGATCAGTTTTTCTCTTTTCAAACATAACCTTAATTTTTTTTTCTTGAGATGGAGAAAATATAGAATCATGGCATGATTGTATTATGTGTTTTTCCAAATTAAGCATCTCGTTTTTTACTTGGGCCAAAGTACATTTATCCCCTTGCACTTTCAACATTGAGGTAGCTAAAGGCGTCCAAAATTCTTCGTTTAATATATTATTGGTAATTTCTATGGGACAAATATCACAAACAGCTTCTTCAACAACTGATGCTTTTAGAGCTTTCTTGCATATTTGAATTTGTTCCATACATTTTATTGACGATGCCCATCTTGTTTGGCTAATTGTACTTAATGTAGATGGTATGCCATGAAGATTATTATTACGGGAAAATACTGCAGCTGGTATGTGTTTATTCTTGAAAAATTTAACAATTTTTTTAATTATTGAAATATGGTCACTGAAGGCGTTCAATCGTTCAAAATCGTGAAAGAATAACTGCAATGTATGCGCTGCAAAACCATAACATTGTATATGATTATAAATAGATTCAGATTTTAGAATTCTCCAGGCTGCTTTCATGTTAGCGGCATTATCAGTAACTAAAGAATATACTTTTACCGGATTCAATTCATGAATTACATTTTTAAATTCCTGGGCAATATAATCTGCCGTATGGCGATTTTCCTCAGTATTTAGAAATTTGTAGAACACTGGAACAGGCGTCATCACCATAAAATTATTAATACTCTCGTTTCTAATGTTGCTTCAGCCATCTGATACAATTGATAAGTAAGGAGCTTTATCTATTATATCTGCAACTCTCACCTCCATATCACCTGACGCTTTGTCTAAAAGATATCCAGCCAGCTGCCTTCTCCTGGGTAATGTGTAAATAGGACGTATTTTTTTAAAAAATTCTTGGATGTAGGGATTTTCAGTGATGTGGAAAGGTAAATTGCTCGCATATACAGCCTTTGCAAACTATTGATCCAGCTCATTTTTTTCTTTGGGATTAATTCTATCTATGAAACCGGTTATACAAGATTGAGATTTATATTTAATCGCCTTGCTTGTAGATTGATTAGAAATAATGGAATCAAATTCTCCTGAGTCATAAGACAAAATATTGTTCATTTGATAATCATTCTCACTAATTTCACCCAATTCTTCATTAGAGTTAACTTAGAAGTATTACAAATTACATTTGTGATATTTTTTGTAGAGGTTGATATTTTGGAATTTGAATAAAATTTTTCCTTAATTATAACAGGGCACATAGTACAGCTGCTTAATAAATGTTTGACCATTATCAACGTGAGTGATATAGGACATCTTGCAAAACTTGCACACCGCTTTAACTGATTTACCATCGCGTACTTCTTGAAAATGTTTCCAAACATGATGCTTTGGTTTGACCATAATCCCTAATATATTAAAATTTAACAAAAAATGATTTTGATTATTGTAAAGTTAATCAATCTTAACTATTTTATAATTATCGACCAATTATTCCAATAATTTCACCCGTTACTGGTTAACGGTGCATACATGATTTTAACATAGTAGTTTTTTTTTAAAAAATAATAAAAAAGATTTTTATATAGTTCAGACATTGTACTTCAAAACTGGAAAAGAAAAATATGAAAAAAATATTTTTTTATGCCCCTAAGAAACCCTCAAACTTTGCGAATTTATGAGGTCTAAAATGCAAAATTTTCTAAGTGATCTCACGAGCATATTATAAAATTATTTCGATGAAAACTAGTCTTTATATATTCTTTATAGATATATCAATATTTATCAATCATTTTTGAATTTTTAAATAATTAATATTTTAGTAGGTAACCACATAAAGTTGACTGGTGCATATATGCACCGTTAACCATCTAGCAGTATATATTATTTAAAAAAATTCAAACAAATGAAATTTAACATAATGAATTATAATTTTTTATATTATACTTAAAACCACTACCGTCACTAAGGGTGGGAAGGGGAGGGGTGGGTGGCTCGAGCCCCTTAAGAATTTTTAAAAAAAATTTTATACCCAAAAAAGACCTTTTGAAAATAATTTAAAAAAATTTTTCTCCCCTGAGATTAAATCGAATAATATATTGTTCCTATTATAATTTTTTATCCCGATCAAATTGTATGAAATTATTAGGTTCATAAATATTCAAAAGTTTAAAATTATTTTTAGCCTCTTCCTTTCTGAAGATTTTATTTTATTTATATAAAATATTATGCACCTGTTTTGTCAATTCAATCAAAATTATCAAAATAATAGATGACTAATAAAAAAATCAAGATTCTACGAAAATAATTTGTCTAGATATTTAATTTTTAATAAATTTTTTTAATGAAACGTTTTCTAACAATTGAACAAGCGCTTGCTCAACTTTTTGAAGAGGAACCAATTGAAGAAAGAGATATGGTTATAATTCCGCCAAACCCCTCTGCAGTTAGTGATGAAGAAGATTTCGATGAAAATGACTTAACAAATGTCGGAGTTTTGCCTTCAGATACAGCTGGAGAATTGGAGATTCATAATTCAGTTGATGACGACCTTCCAGAACCATATTCTACAAGAAGCTATTCTCGAATTTCTCACAATTTAAAATGGAGAAAAACGGATGCAATATATTCTTCAAGCCCTTTCAATGGAGAAAAGGAAGATGTAATAAAACTTGAAAATGATTTACATGGTAAAAGTCCATCAGATATATTTTGTTTAATTTTCGACGAAGACTTATATTCCCTAATTGTAGAACAAAGTAATATTTATGCTAAACAAATGAATAGACCTAACATATGCATAACCATCCAAGATATTCAGAGATTTATTGGAATTCTATTATTTACTGGATATCATTCTCTCCCACAAGAAAGAATGTACTGGTCTAATGACAGCGATATTTCTATTCCAATAATCCGGGATACAATGACCCAATTACAATTTCGAAATTTGAAATATAATATCCATTTGGCAGACAATACTAAAATAGATATACATGATAGATTTTATAAAGTTAGGCCTTACATTAATATATTGAATAATAAATTTCAGCAATTCGGAATTTTTAAACATCATTTATCAATAGATGAACAGATGATACCATATCGAGGAAGACATTCTTGCAAAATGTTCATAAAAGGAAAACCAATTAGATTCGAATACAAGTCTTGGATATTGGCCTCTTCCGACGGTTACGTATTCTCATTTGATATATATCAAGGAAAAAGCGAAAATAAATATGAATATGGATTAGGTGGAAATGTAATCATAAAATTATTAAAGGCATTGCAAAAACCAAATTATCATAAAATATATTTTGATAATTTCTTTACATCATACTTAAAACAAATGGGATATTTTGCAACTGGAACTGTGAGGGACAATAGAATAGAGCATTGCCCAGTTGAATCTATAAAGGTTGTAGCAAAAAAAGAAAGAGGATATTATGATTATAGGTTTGAAAAATTAAACGAAATATTTGTAGTTCGTTGGAATGATAATTCGGTGGTGACCGTTGCATCGACATGCCACACTATCTCTTTGCTTTCTAATGTTTCAAGGTATTCTAAGAAAATATCTTCTAAAATAAAAATTCTTCAGCCAAATATGGTAACTGCTTATAACAAACACATGGGTGGAGTTGATCTATGTGATAATCTAATATCTACATATAGAATAAAAATAAGAGGAAAAAAATGGTGGTGGCCAATATTCACCAATTTTATTGATGTAGCTTTGGTAAATTCATGGAAAATCTGGAAATTCGTGAATCGAGATGACAAGAAGAGTTTGCTTGCATTTAGACGAGAAGTTACTAACTACCTCCTTCGAACGCCAGTAAAAATTGAAAAAAATTCAAGTACAGGTCACGCCAGCCAGTTTGCATTACAGTGTGAAAACCCTATTGATTCATCTGGACATTATTTATCCAAAATTATAGATGGAAAAAGACGAAGATGCAGATATTGCCATACGCACTCAAGATATATGTGCCAAACATGTCAAATCGCACTCCATATTAAATGTTTCAAGGATTTTCATAATATATAAACATTTTCTCGTTTTTATTATAAATTACAAAAAAAGAATAAAGATATTTGTTGTTTTTTTGATCTTATAGTATTTTATATAATTTTTATCTTTTTTAACCTCTTAATGGTTAACGGTGCATATATGCACCAGGCTAGATTTTCTATTTAGGATTATTTTTTTTGGCTGATTTTTTTAGAATATCATATTTGAGCATTAATCAATATAATTTGAAAAAATTGAGTATTTTTATCCACTAGAAAAATCTTGACCATTAATGGGTTATTATAAATATAATATAATATATATAACTTTTTACCAGAATTGAATAATATTCCGTAAATCTGACCAGAACAATTAAAATGAAAATTAATTTTAAAAACCAAATATAGCAAGTGTAAGTAAAACAAATGAGAATTAATATAATTTATACTCGGCTAAATATTAAATAAAATTTAAATTTATTAAAAAATAAGAATGAAAAAATTATATTATGATTATAATAAATCGGGTATTTTTATTTTTTTAAGAAAAATGAATTGAAAAAAATGAAGAAGGCGAGAAACGGCAATGATTAGGCAAAAAAATAACTAAAAATATTACTATATTTAGGAAAATTACATATTTATATTTTAACAATAAAAAAATTCTTTTGTTTTTAACAATTCATGATACAAATAATTTTTTAAATAATTGTAACCTAATAAGATTGATAAACATGCTTTTAATGCATACTAGTTAATTATATCAAAATATTTATTCGCCATTAATATTTTAGAGTATTTGACCGTATTTGACGGGTCAAATATTCCTCGCGGTCAATTGACCGACATGCCAACCCTGATTTAAATATATGCCTAAAATATATTATTTGTTATTCTAAATTCGATTCGTATTTTATGAATACGAATAGCACAAGATTCAAAATTATTCATATATTCGAAATTATTCGTATTATTTGAAATTATTCGTATTATTCGAAATTATTTATTTATAAATATTAGTAATTTTTCGTAAATATTTTATTTTTTCATTAATATTCGTAAATCGTAAGTAAATAATAAAAAAAAAGTAATTAAATTTTCCTAGTGGATATCATTTCGTTTTATTTTATTTCCTATTTTTTATATATTCATAAATCAAATCATAAGTTATATTTTCTGATAAGGAGTTTAATGGAAAGGGAAATGCCCCAGCAAAGTAAACTAATAAATATAATTATTTTATTTTTATGGTTAGATTTAAAAATTCCAGCTAAATAAAGAATTCCCAATAATGACTTTAATTCTGTTACATCAACTTTTTTAATAGAACTTTCATATTGGTCAGTATAGTTTTTACTTATAATTTTAATTTTTTCAATGGTATGAAAAATAATCTCTTCAATCATTTTTGGTGTTATGAACAACTCAAAACATTTTTCTGGAGTGTTTGCTTCTTTCCCATATTCTTTTAATCCTAGTAGATGAATAACTAAATTTTATTGACGAGTTCTTATTCTTTGATTAGGAAAATCATTTTTCCATTTAGTAACATTTTTAGCTAATTTTAAAGAGAAATATATTATGATAAATGATCACATATTTACCGGAATAATATTTAAGTCTATATTCTTTTACTCCTGGCAGATGAATAACTAAATTTTGTTGACGAGTTCTTATTCTTTGATTAGGAAAATCCTTTTTCCATTTAGTAACCTTATTTTTAGCCAATTTTAAAGAGAATTATACTATGATAAATTATCACATATTTACCGATATAATATTTAAGTCTATTGTCTATTTCAACCAACATATCTTCTTCATCTAATTCAGATTGTGTATCATGATTACTATCATATATAAAATCTTCATTCTCACTATAATTTACATTGACATAATCAACTCTAATAAATTATATTATATTTTAAATTATTTTATAATCAATTTTAAATCATATGGTCTATAATTTACTATAAAATTAATATAAAATTGTCAAAATAAGAAAGGATTGATTTAAAAGAATTAATTCTGAAGGTTTAATTAATAACTGTTTCTTAAGTTGTTTTAAATTTTAAATATTTTTTCTTTCAGTTACTAATGTATCATTTATCTTGAATTTCAGGAAGGTTAAACTTAGATAAAATATATTCAAAGATCGATTTGAAAATCTTGATGGAGAAATAGGTGGTGATGGACAAAGCCATCAACTAGTTCTAGATCTACATCTATCCATCAAGAACCTGTTAACGCAATGCGAAAAAATTCTTTAATATGGAATCTTTATCTACATGATTCTAAAACAGAAACTGCCAAATGTAAAATATGTAAGGTAGAAATAATGTGTAAGAAAAAAACCACCTCTGCACTAATTAATCACAATAAAAGATTTCATCAAAAGATATAAAATAATAATACAATAGAGAGCTATTTAAATAATTTCTCCAAAACAAATATTGATGATATTAAACATTATTTATTAAAATTTTTGCTCAAGTCAACTATACCATTTAAAATTCTTGTCACAAATAAATTTAAATCATTTGTCAGAGCTTTAAATCCTAACGCAAAAATTTGTTCAATACCATCAATTAAACTATATATGAGTGAAATTAATAATAAATAATTCAATTAAGTTAAAATAATTATAAATGATTTAAAGTGCCTCGCGTCAATATATTAATATTTTTCGCAAAATAGTCTTCGTGATTTGGGTTTCGCCTTCGTTATTATATTCACGATAAAAGTTTTGCCGTAAAGTATTCTCTTGAAAGAGTTCTCACCACTAAGGGTTTATTAAGAGTTTCTCTATAAAATCAATTCGATTTAATAAACATTAGCGATAAGGTGTTTTGAGATAAGTTTCGTCGTCATAATAATTTATTAAATTTAAAACTGATTGAATTTAAAAAAATTGTAGTTTCACCGTAAAAGATTTTTTTTATACATAGATTTTGCAATAGGTAAAATTTGATCAGATATCGATCATTTTTAAATTAAGATTTTCTCTTTTTGGAAATTAAAATTTTGTTTCAATTATTTTATGACCAAGGTATCCATTGCACTTTTTTAATATTTTTAAAAAGAAAAAGACCCTCTGTCAAAAATGCAATCCCCCACTTCCATTTTTGTTTTTTTATTGCAAATCCTAATATACAAAAATGATGTTTATTAATAATTTTTAAATATATATTCGCTTTTATTGGCGACGAGGTTGTTTTAGACATTTAAAAAATATATTTAGGAGAAAATTTTTCCCAATTTATATTTTTAAAATCTAAAGAGGAATATATTTCTGGTAATTATTTTCTGTTTTTCCAGGGAACTAACTTACATGGTAATTTTTTTCAGAGGAATTATTTTCGGGTTTTTTTCCAGGGGAATCATTTTGAGCATATCAATTTTTTTAAATTTCAAAAACACTGAAAATGTAATTCAACATGGAGAATACCCACTCTTTGATTTAGAAAATGTTTACATAAACCTTTGAAACACTTTTAATTAGTTTATATTTATTTCTTCATAGATTTTTTATATAAGCAATTCAAATATTAAAAGAAAAATTTTTTGAGATACACAGAGTAATTATTTTAGAAATGGGAAAACACCTTTCAGATAAAAAGAAATCGAAAATTTTTTAACGTGCTCAAAAAATGATTATAAATAGTAACATATTGACGTTAAAATATACATTCATTTTAAACAATATAATTACACCAATTAGTATTTGATCAGTGAAATACCAACCCTGATTGAAACTGAAGCCCATTATTTTAAATTCAATCTTATACTTTCTAAATAAGAAATTACAATTAAATTTTATTAACATGATTAAAGTAGATGATTAGAAATAGAAATACATTGTACAAAAATATAAAGGAAAATATTTGAAAAAAACGAATATACAAGTCATGATTTATAAAAAAAATGTCGGCCAATTCACTTTTTCCATCATTGTAAAAAAATGTTTAACAAAGTGAAAATTATATAACATTTATATAAATTGACAAGGCTTTCCTAATCATAAAAAAAATTCAAATCTACATCAAATTAACTAATTTTGGCTTTAGAAAAATCCATTTCAGGGTGCTGTGTCATAAACTTTTTAAGCATATCCATCTTCTTGCCTTCTTCTGATGTTGGTAGACCCATTTCTTTCTGTCTCTGATCATACATCATTTTTTCCACCATACTTCGTGTTTCACCATCCAAATCTGAAAGTTTAGAGTTTTCTGGAACAACTTTTTTTGTGTCTATTTCTTCAGGATCTATATCTAACAACTTGGACCACCATTCCATTTTGTTAATTTTCTCCAATGTCAACTTCACAGGATAAAGATATTAATAAAATTAATGTAGAATAAATTTGGCCTATGTGGATAAACCAAATTAAGATTGTTTAACATTACAATGTGGCAATATAATTAAATTAATTAAATGGTAATATTTTAATTAAGTGATCATTTATTATTATTTACATGTATAGTATTTCCATCTACCAAAAGCCATGTTGATTCTTCAACCTTAATTCGATGTTGAAAATTGCCGGACACTACTGGATCAACAGCACCTTTTATACTGACATTTAATTTGTCCTGCGTGATATCCACTTTAACATCTTTACTCTTGAGCTTAATATTAGGAGTTTTACTGAGCATAACTTTAATATCTAATTCTGATAAAGTTTGAGTCCATCGATACTTTGGAAAATCGGCACCATTACCTGAGTTCGGTTTAATTTTTCCTATACAAAATAAAATAATTTACATTTTATATTTTCAAAATATCTTACAACATAATATATAATATTATCACTTATAGGATATAGAAATTAAGCCAAAACATACAAATAAATAATGTTGGTAATAGATAAGGTTTTTAAAAGCCCGATTTTTAAAAACGACCCGATTAAGATTTTCACCAAAATAATCTTATGTAAGCTTCAAGATTTGGAAAATAGATGTACAAATTACAATCTATGAGCAAAACTCTATGCTTATATTACATTATTTTGGTCAAAATCTTAATCGGGTCATTTTAAAAATCGACCCGAATCAGACTTTTTAACAACCCTAGTAATCGAATATAGCAAGATTGGCCCAAGCTTGTAGTCTGAACGGCCATAATATGGTCCAGCCTGAGGCCCAAAATTGTTATTTATATTTACCTATAATCCAATAATAATAAATTAGGCAAAAATTCATTTGGTTATAAAGGGTCATTTCATGAAAAATCGAACAAAAAGGACCATTTAGTGGATCTCTTTCAAATCGAATAAAACTTTGCATAATGATTAAATATGCTGTAAGGATCTATGTAATTTAATTTTTTAAGCTCTACCCCATTTAGTTGAAGATATATAGCGGGTCAAAGCTAAAAAATAGTGTCCCTCCTAATTCAGTAAAACCTATAAAAATAAAGATTACTCAAAGAATATAAATGATAGTGACCTATATTTTGTATCATTAGATAGCCCTTAAATTCATTACTTAAAAATATAAATTTTTACTATTAAAACCATAAGTGTTTTTTATTTCCGGAAAAGGTAAAGATTGATTTTCCTTAATATTATTTAAGCTTAAAATTTTCTAAAAATTGGTATATATGCTTATTAAATCAATATAAATTTATATTGAAAATTAGGTTTTTAAAAAAAATATATAATTTAAAAAACAATATTTACTTAATTTTGAAATAAAAGATTATTTAGTAGTGTTGTAACGAAGTTCATTTTTTTGAAAAAAATGATGAACGGCGTTCCTTTTATTTTTGACGAACTTTGAACGTGAACGCGTTCCTTTTTCATGACGAACGCGTTCGAATTTAACGTTCGTTCAATCAAAATACTTTTTATTTTTATTTATGAAAAATTTAATATTTCCGAATTTTTTTTAAAAAAGTATTATTTATATTTTTTAATCGGCTGTGTATTTCCTTTTCACATTTCAATTTTTTAACACGCCATTATTATAGTTTATTAATTTGAATATTATTGTTTATATTTTAATTTAATAGATTAGCATAAGCCTGGATATTATTATTTAATCTTCATCATCTGATTCTGAAAATCCAAAATCAGATGAATTATCATTACCATGGCCAAATATGATAAATGTTTTACAGTAACATCCTATATTGAAGGAACTAATTCAATGCTTACCAAGTGTAAAATGTGCCCAAAAAGTATTAAATTAGTGTCAAAATCTTCAGGTTCCAATTTAAAACGACATTTGATTATAATATAAATATATAACTAAGTAAATCATTAAATTTGAAAAAAAATGCATTTAGTTAATTTTACCCCAACAATAACGATAGTTATTTTAAAATTAAGAAAAATTAGTGGCCTCAAATATGGTCAATCATTGATAGACGCCGTATTAAATGGTATTAATAAAAGGCATTACTATCACTCTCAATTAATTACATATATTTTATTTTTTTAAAAGATTTGAACATATATATGAAGATCAATATGTTCTTTCTGCAATTATACATCAAGTATTCAAGCTTCAGATCATGGATAAAACTACTACAGAATGAACCTATTAAAAATAAACTTATAGCGTTATTGAAAAAAATGCTTTGAAAACCCTAAAAATGATAATGCAAGAACTGTTAATTTCGAGATATCCTTTTTTTGTCGAGTAAGTAGAGAATGGATTTGAGGAGGATACTTATCTCAATTTTTTGAAGCAAATAACAAAACAATAAATGTTTTTAATAAATTCCCCACGTTAAAAGAGTTATTTATTTACCCTTGAACACATTTTTAGTATAGCTAATGCCGTATTAATGCCAAGCGTTTCTATCTATCAAATGAAAATTTTGAAAAATATTGTTATTAAAAATTAATAAGAAAAATTTTTTATAAATAAAAATATCTATTTATTTGATATGTTATATTGAATTTATAATTATATTATCAAAATAAAACTATATTATTTTTTAACATTGTGTTAATAAATATGACATTTATTTATATTAGATTAAATTTAAAAAAAAAATTATCATAAAATTTTGAACGGTTCATGAACGTGAACGAGTTCCTTTTTTTTTGAAAGTGAACTTGAACGTGTTCGATTTTTGTCAATGAACGTTGAACGCGTTCGATTTTTTTAAAAATGTTTACAGCACTATTATTGTCATTGATTTCAATTTTGTTGTGATTTTTCAGTCTGTGTGTATAAGTGTGCAAGTACATCCCTGTTGCTGTCTAAACTATAACTCTTCTATAAAATGCTCAAAATTATTTCACCAAAAAATGAACTCCGATATACTAATTGATTATTGGAACATTTAAAAAATCATATAATTAATTATTTTTGTAATTTTGATATATATAATATATGTTAAATATTTTTATATATTTTTAATAAAATTATTGGGATTGTAAATCTTCAAACAGCAACAGGGTGTATTTACACACTTATATCCACAGACGTTTTAAAAACCACAATAAAATGGAACAATGACTAAATAATGATATTTTATTTCAAAATTAAGTAAATGTTATTTTTTTAATTATATTTAATATATTAAAAAAATAAGAATTTGGATTTTTTTTAGCACATTGCATGCATGTAAAAAAATAGTTATCCCAACTATTATGTATTAAATTGTTTATTTTATTATTTTTATAAATTATTTTTATTATTTTGGCATCTTGTGAATTTGCATACATAAAAATAATGGAATTTTATGATAAAATAATAAAAGAAACATATTATATGGCTAAATTACTACTAATATAGTTAACGGTAATACAAAAATATCTGTTGAAAATGTTACAAATATGAACTAAATATACCTTAAAAATGGCGCGGTCGATAAAAAGTCTAACGGATTCAAACCTATGTTTTAAAGATTGGTACGACTTATTTAAAGAATTTAAAAATACACAACCAAAGATAACATCATCACAAGAAAAATCATTGTTATTAACAACAATAAGTGGTGATACTTACAAAATAATAGTAAATTTATGTGCACCTGATAGTCCAGGAAACAAAGAGGTATTAGAAAAAAATAATATTTTAATCAAATTTTTTTATCCCAAACCTAATATAATTTTTTATAATAAAAAAAAAATAGATTATATATATAGAATCTTCGAAAATTATCAATGACTTGTTAATTTGGAGAATATTTGAATACTGCTTTAAGAGATTAATTCCTTTTTGGACTAAAAAATCCTAAAATATTACAGATTATTATCCGAGGATGATTTAGATATAAATAAGGCTATTCAAATAGCTTAGTTACTTAGAAACGGCTATAAAGAACGCAAAATTAATATAAAAATATGAAACTACAATTGATCTGTTAGAAGATGAACATAATAATATAAATATAATTTAAAAAGTTAATAATGATAATAATAAACAATCAAAACAATATAATAACTGATTCGCTATAAAAAAACCAAATCCCTGCCACTCCTGTGGCGGAAACATAGAAGGGAAAATTGTTGCCACTTGTTATGAATGTAACAAAGGACAATTGCTCGTGTCTATAGAAAAGAAATAGTGAATTTTATTGATAATACAAATGAATATCATCTAGAATTTTGGGTGGATATCAATATATAAACAACAGCGATATCAGAATAGAATTAGATATAAGAGCTGGGGTAAGCATAATGAAAAAATAAACTTAATCGCCCTGGATTAACATATTGCAGTTACCAATATACAACAACTAGGTCAGACTATAATAAAAATACAATATAAAGAATGAACATTAAAACTCCCTCTCATAATTACAAAAATTATATAAAAAATCTAAATATAACTAAATTTCCAAAGATGACTGAAATACCTGAAAGGGCCATACAAATAAATAACATTCATGATGGATTTCCTTGATTATTTACTAAGAAATTGGGCTGTTTGAAAGATTTTAAGGCACAAATATATATGAAAAACGAGAAACTAAATTTCTGTAAATCACGTCCCGTAGCATACGCGTTAAAATAAAAGGTTGAAGAAGATTTAGATAGATTTTTAAAAATAGGAGTAATAGAAAAAATTAATCATTCACTTTATGCATCACCCTAGTAATTGTTAAAAAGAAAGATAAACCATTATGAATTTGTGGGGATTTTAAAAGAACTATAAATCAAAATATTAGTAATGATTTATACCCAATATCAAGAATACAAGATTTATTAACAAGTTTGTGAGAAAGAGAGGAATTTTCAATATTGGACCTCTCAGATGTCTATTTTCAAATTAATGTGGAGGAAGAGTCATAAAAATATCTAGAGGATTATTTAAATATACAAGACTATAGTATATCGTCTTCTCCATCATTATTTCAACGGGCCATCGATAATTTATTAAAAGGTTTTGAAGGATTAGATTGTTATTTATATATTATAATAACCGGAAAATATAGAGAGAACATGAAACAAATTTAAAAACGGTACTAGCTAAACAAAAATGGTATCAAACTAAAGATAGAGAAGTGTAAATTGTTCAAACAAAAATGTCGAGTACTTAAGACACAATATATCAAAAAACGGGATTATAACTACAGAAAAAATATTAACGGAGTAAAAATATTAACGGAGTAAAAAAAGCACCGAACCAACAAACTTAAAACAAATAGTCATTTCTAGAATCAGCAACATAATATTCAAATTATTTTTCAAATTTTGCAGACAAAGCCAAACCATTATATAAATTATTAGAAAAAGAAGTAGTTTGGAGGTGGACAAATGAATGCAAAGGCGCGTATAAA